GGGCTCCTGCCTGGCTTCCCGTACCCCTCCTCCCTCCAGAGGAGAGCAAGCGGGCAGGTAGACATGCTCAGACCCTTCCCATTTCCACCCGACTGGAGAAGCAGCTCCTGCGAGGCACGATCACACTCTCCATTACCCAGGCTCTTGAACACCCTGGCTTTCAAGTTGCATGTTTCATGCCTGGCTGGAGTCGTATTCACACTCCTACAGGACACACTACAAGTGAGTGAAAGAAAAGGGAACACAGACTTACAACAACTTAACTTCTGGCTTGACAGAAGGTTTGGCAGCTCGGAGGGGTTCAGTGCGCTCACATGGTTCCAACATTTACCAGGGAACAGATTTAGCATTCATTTGTACCCACTGCTGTGAAGCACTTCAACAGGGGCCGCCTGCTCACGAGTCCCTGCTCGAATCTGAGCTATTGGAGCGGCACCTGCAATCACAGCTGGGATTCACCCAGGGAAAGCAAAACCAGCAACCAGCTGCCACCACAGGAAGAACCAACAGATGTTAAGGAAGAGAAAGAATTCAAGACTCCTTCCTCATTTCCCCAAAGGCAAATGGGCAGCTCCTCAGCGACTAGAGGAAGAAGTTCAGCTGTTTAATTAGTTTTAAGCAAGCTCTTCCACTCTGAAGAACTCCTTCCCAACCTGCTTCTCTGCAGAGCTGTTTTCCTGAACCTGCAGGCAGCCTGGTGAAGAGGAACATGAAGAGCTTGGATTCAGTCCTGGCTCTGCGTAGCCAGGTTTTTACTGCCCAGCATATGCTACCATGGCCAGGCTCTGCAGGCAGCACAGCTTCTCCTCACACATCTGCTACGAGAAATTCCACCACTACCCAGCCCAGGCTGCTGCGCAACAGCAACACCTTTCCACATCAACTGCTCTGATGTGCCTCTGCTATTCTTCCCTCTCCCAAAATCCATCATGTCCCTAGGCCATACTTTTAGGGAACTGGGCTCCTGGGCTACTGAGCAACAGCTGGCATTTCACTTTGCAAAGCTGCCACTCCACAGGCATTTGTTCCTGGAGACAAGAAGGGACAAGAGCTTTTCAGCACAGTCTCCCCCTTATGGACAATAGAACAGTGGCTTTGCTATCATTAGTTCACACACCAGCACGTAACAGCTGAGCCTTGCCAATGTCTTATTTTTATACTGTGATTGCCTTGATTATTGGGATATCACCCAGTACCTTTGGGGAGGGGGGAGTGAGCAGTTAAAGTGCTTGGAGAAGATTTGTGATGTCCTGTGCTCTACTGAGAGCTTTGTATTGATCATGAGGAAAAAAAATAAATAAAGAAAAAAACCTTGCGTTTGGTATTCATGAAGCACCAGCATCTTCAACACATTTGTAAAAGAAGGAAATGGTAAAGTGTCAACTGAAAGACAAAATGCTGCAGTTCCCCAACTAGCCTTTGATAGCATACACACTTGTGTATTTCCACACCGTAAGTGTCTCGGTGGGGCTGGCTGATACTTGTCATACAAATTTCAGAGTGCTTTTGGGGGACAGTTCTCCAGGGACTAGAGGGGTGTCTGGGGAGATGTCACTTCAGCAACATTGCCTCTGCTGACAGATCCACAGTTCACCAGGCAACTGGCAAGAGAGGAGACTGGCAAGGGAAGGATGCTGAACAGGCAGAAGGTGAAACAACGCCTCAGAAAGAAAAAAGCTGGCTCCCAGTGGCTTGTCTCAATGTTGATGCTTAGTGCTCCCAGGCAGACCACCAGCCACGTCAGTGCGCTCAGAAGAACACACATTCTCTCCACTTCTTCATACAACCGTTCAGAGAGCAAGCTGCCTACACACTGTGATACAAGAAACCATACAAAGACACATATGAACTTGAATTTACTTCAGGATGAACAGCCTAGAACACTTGCATTTATTTAGTTATGCATTTATTGCAGATTTATTGCATTTCGTTATTTCTTTGGGAAGAAGGGAATGATTGCAGGAAAAACGTAAAGTATCCCACTCTGATTTATGAACCTACGTGCCAATGAACCATTTGTACTAGCTGTATTAATCATGCCATTAGACAGTAAAAGCGGGTCTCACCGTAACAGGTATTGAACAAATACAGAGTGGTGGGAAGCCTCTGTCCCAGAAAGCTGACGACCTCAAATGCAAGAGAACAGGAAAAGCTCATGAAAGTGCAGTGGCAACAGAAAATATAACAGTGCTGTTACTTACTGAGGGAAAGACTTCGGCTAGAGATGAACCAAGGATAGGAAAAGAAAAAAAAACAGAGAAAAAGAATACTGAAGGAAGAAGTATAGAAATGGGAAAACGGAGACAAAAGGGCAGAGAGGATTAAAAAAAACCAGAGGTGAAAAGGCTGCAGGACAGAGATGATCAGAGCAACAGCAGCTGACCCCAGGGCAGCCTGCCTTACGCAATCTGGAAATCTCTGACTGGTGGGCAGTTTCTGCTTTGGCTGTTCTTGAGGCTGCAACAACTGGCCAGTCCTGAAGTGACTGTTATTAGCCCTTTCTCCCTCTAAAACACATGGGCTGGAAGGTGAAAAGCAGGGGAATCTCCATGTGGGCACTATCAGTCTTGTTGTTTGGGGTTTTTTTTCCCCAAAACGGGGACATATCCCACTGCAGCTCTCACTCTGAGCTATGGTGAGAGAAGGCACACCATCAGCTGAGTTGCATTTCCCCCTCCTCACCATCTTCATTGCAACAAGGTTTGCTTCTGCAGCGGCTGCAGCAGTCTTCCAGTTAGCAAGTGATATATAAATAATTATTTCTAGAAAGTCTTTTAAAACTGCCAGATAAACAGAAACAACCAGTGCTACCCTTCAGAGAAGCTCAGAGTGAAACAGCTTCTGAAGATGCAGAGCCTGCTGACAGGAAAGGGCTCCTGTGAAAACCCCTATGGCATGCATGGAAAGAAAAGATTTAATTGATTCCTCAGTTTAATTTGCCACTAGTTGTAACATCATGTGTGAGAAGTGAAATGCACCAGCAACACCGAGCTACCCATCCCTCAATTCCTAGCATCTTTCAGTCCATGTGCACCCACTGTGGCAAGAAACAGCACCCTGCCTGCCTTAACCTCCCAACAAGCTGGTCTGGGTCCAATGAGCAGGGAAAGCAAAATCACTATGCTCAGGCAGGCAGCACTTCTTCAGCACGTTTTCTCTGACCTCCAAACTCTCCCCATCAAGTGATTGCAGATGAGCTGTCCAATACCCACTCCTGCTTGACAGCAGCTACATTTCCAGAGTCCTGCAAGATAACACTGTCCTCTTGTCCTGAGCAGTGAAATTAAGCACTCTCGTGGTGCTGAAAGTAGGCTAAGAGAAGAATAGAAAGGTTGCAAAGCTTATTATAGAGATGGGATTGCTGAGCCATCATGCACTGCATGAGCCTGGTCTTTGCACTTACTTTGCAGGTGGCATAAAGCATTCTTTGTATACTCAACCATTTCTTGTACAATAAAAGCAGCACCGTGA